TGGGGCCCCCAGCAGCCTAGGCCTATAGCAGCATAACTAAGGGAAGGCTCAGGGTCACCTGATCCAGCCCTAACTATAAGCTTTATCAAAAAGGAACGTCTTAAGTCTAATCTTAAAGGTAGAGAGGGTGTCCACCTCCTGAACTGAGACTGGGAGTTGGTTCCATAGGAGAGGAGCTTGATGGCTAAAGGCTCTGCCTCCTTTTCTACTTCAGTGGACTCTAGGAGGATTATAGAAAAAGGAGCAGAGTCATAAGACGAAGCTCTCAATTTACCAGTCGATCTACATTCCTACCCTCACCTATGGCCATGAACTTTGGATCATGACCGAAAGAATGAGTTCGTGGATACAAGTGGCAGAAATGAGTTTCTTCTAGAGAGTGGCTGGGTGCACCCTTAGGGATATAGTGCGGAGCTCAGTCACCCGTGAGGAGCTCAGAGTAGAGCCGCTGCTCCTCCACGTTGCGCGGATCCAGTTGAGGTGGCTTGGGCACCTGTTTAGGATGCCCCCTGGACGCCTCCCTGGGCAAGTACTCCGGGCATGTCCCTCCGGTAGAAGGCCTTAGGGCAGACCCGGGACACGTTAAACAAGAGCACAGTTTGTGAACGCGCACAACTCCTGTTCCTGTTGCTGGTGTTGTGTTGCAAGTGGACAGCACAACAAACCATGCTGGCATTAAGTAATCTGAATTTCTCCTCCATAGATAGGTAAACAACGGTATATGTAACATTGAAAAGAGATGTGTAAGACTCTAAACAAAGCGGGTAATTGAGAAATCCCATATTTGAACTGGCATAACTCAGATAAAATAACTTTTTTTTGTTTTTTATAAACTTACCGTTAAGTCCCACCGAGTAGTGGAAACATCACTCCCTTTCAAGTAGCTCCAAGGTCGGTAAATCCAACTGGTGGTCGCTGCATCTTCCTCCTCATGACCACATACAGTCCCAAAGTAGTGAAATTAATTCCAACAGGTAGAGTAACATGGACAATAACATCATGGATCTTTAACCAGCAACAGATCACATGCTGCAGACACACTGGCCTCAAGCAGTCAAAACAACCAGGTAATGTGACCTGGAGGAATCCAGTGTTGATGAGCTGATCAGTCACCACTGGGGGCTTCACTGACTGGCTGCTTGTAGGTTGGACCCAGTCAGGTAAAACAACTAGTCCCTGTACAGGAACATTCCTGGACATGCAGTAACCTCAGGCCCTTATTTTTCTCCACATCCTCTGGTCACAGTGCAGCAGCAGAAGATAAAATATATCCACAGAATGGGGACACAGTCAGAAAAATTCTGCTTTTACAATGGCTCTGGTGGATGTCAGACAAGCTCACATGAACGCACAACTGCCTGGACATTATGACCATTTTAGGAAATCCTTAAACTATCACATAATACTTTATTTGGTTAGAAAAAGAGTCTTGTGAGTGAGAGTTTATGAGATGTGTATAAACCCAGTTGCTTCTACATACACCTCATTTTTTTTAGCTTTAGGTCACATCTAAGATGAGAATTCACTGTTGCAACATTGTAGATAAGTCAGAAAACAAGGAAAAGCGCCATGGGCCCTTTAAGCCCTAGGGTTTTCTCCCTCTACAGGACATATGCTAGTGTGTCCCAAGATAGTGATATGACCAAACAGTGCAGCTAAAAATGAACTAAACCTCCCTGATTCCCCCTTAAAACTACACGGCTCTTTTGTCTCATTCAGAAAACGTATTTGACTACATTGACCTCTGTGCAATTGGTTAAATGCTCATTTTAGAGCTTTGAATGAAAGACACCCCTTGTTTAGTACTCTGAGCCAATACTGGTGCATTAACTCATGGTAATCTTATATGCACACTTCAAGATAGCACTGTCAGCTATGCAGGACTCAAAAATATGATCTTGTAGCTAAAGAATAGTTTATTAGATACTGTATCATTAGGTTAATTCTGTATCAACATAAATCTGACTGCAGTGAAGCTATAATAAAAACTGGATTAAGTCTGAAATAAAGATTGTATGTCCTAGTAGTGCTATTGTAATGGCATGGTGATTAAAATCAAATTCGGAGTGTCAGCTTGTATAAGATTCCAGATTAGGGTCCATGTAAGAGCTCTGTAGCAATAACACTGTTTTCACACATTTCTTTTGGATGTTGAGACTTTATATGTAAAAGGTTATTACTGTGTAGCTTAAGCTTTCACAGCCAAAACACTTGACATGCATCATTGGGCATAAGCTTTAGTTTAAACAAGTGTATCAAAGCTCAGAATTTGAAAAAAAAAAGTACCATAAATCTGGTAAAGGAAGCCACAGCTTAAACTTCTGACTGTAGTTTTAAATGGAAACTCTAACATATTTATTTATACAGTGTAAACACAGTGGGTAGTATGTGGTATATGCAGTGTAACATGATATTTTTGTTGTATAATAACCTACAACTGTGTGATCTGATTTCATCAGATGGTGCAGGATTACAAGACTTTGAAAGCCTAATCTTTGACTGCCATTTAAAATACAATGCATAAATAACAGACTATTACACATGTTGCAAGAAATTTATTTTGAACAAAGCCAAACTGACATTTCTTCAGATTTCTTAGTTGGAATACAGCCAAACGCCAGTCAAACAATTCATTTTGGAATGTTCTTAAGAACAAATTGAAAGCAACTGTTTCCTGTTTCACTAGTGCTTTATGTCTCTTATTGTTCTCTTCCTCGCCTTCAAGAGTAAACTCCTTCTTAGGCGCGTACAACCTTGTGATACCTACTCTGTTGTCTCACTATCACAGGACTTTAACACCCATACTTCACAGCTTCTGGAACTTTGTCATGAACATCCAAATTAAAAAGAATATTTGTCTTTTGGAATGTATTTATGAACAAATAATTTCAGCCAAACTGGTAATTAATAGACATACATTTCTGTTAGGAATGCATTCAAGAACACATGACAATTTATTGTGTCCGGTTTAGTGCCTAACCTTTTTAATACTCCTCTCCCTCCTCCTCCCCCTCTCCCTCAATGGAGTCGACTCCGACCTCTTCATAATCCTTCTCTAACGCAGCCATGTCTTCCCTGGCCTCGGAGAACTCGCCCTCCTCCATACCCTCACCCACATACCAGTGAACAAAGGCACGCTTGGCGTACATGAGATCGAACTTGTGGTCAAGCCGAGCCCAGGCCTCTGCAATAGCAGTGGTGTTGCTCAGCATGCACACAGCCCTCTGGACCTTGGCCAGGTCCCCACCTGGAACTACAGTGGGTGGCTGGTAGTTGATGCCAACCTTGAAACCAGTGGGGCACCAGTCCACAAACTGGATGGTGCGCTTGGTTTTGATGGTGGCGATGGCAGCATTCACATCTTTAGGCACCACATCACCACGATACAACAGGCAGCAAGCCATGTACTTGCCATGACGGGGGTCACATTTCACCATCTGATTGGCTGGCTCAAAGCAGGCGTTGGTGATCTCAGCCACTGAGAGCTGCTCATGGTAAGCCTTCTCAGCAGAGATGACAGGGGCGTAGGTGGCCAAAGGGAAGTGGATACGAGGATATGGCACCAAGTTGGTCTGGAACTCTGTCAGATCAACGTTGAGGGCGCCATCGAAACGAAGGGAAGCGGTGATGGAGGACACAATCTGACTGATCAACCTGTTCAGGTTGGTGTAGGTAGGACGGTCAATAGCGTGTTTCCTACGGCAAATATCGTAGATGGCCTCGTTATCCACCATGAATGCACAGTCAGAGTGCTCTAGGGTGGTGTGGGTGGTCAGGATGGAGTTGTAGGGCTCCACCACAGCGGTGGACACCTGGGGAGCTGGGTAGATGGAGAACTCCAGCTTGGACTTCTTGCCGTAGTCGACAGACAGACGCTCCATCAGCAGGGAGGTGAAACCAGAGCCGGTGCCACCTCCAAAGCTGTGGAAAACCAGGAAGCCCTGAAGGCCAGTGCACTGGTCGGCCTGAGGACAGAGAGGGCGACACTCGTTAAATGCATAATGTTGGATTATGATTTAGACTGATATTTAGGTCAAAATTAGGAATGAACTCCTGATATCAAGTTACCCACCAGTTTGCGGATCCTGTCCAGCACCAGGTCAATGATCTCCTTGCCGATGGTGTAGTGTCCACGGGCGTAGTTGTTGGCAGCATCCTCCTTACCAGTGATCAGCTGCTCAGGGTGGAACAGCTGGCGGTAGGTCCCAGTGCGCACCTCATCTGAAAAGAAAAACACACCGAATCAGTTGCCGTTAACTACTTTCACATATTTTGCTTCAATTAGCCCAAATTAAATGTTCAACCAAAAGGTGCTGACACCTACCGATGACAGTGGGCTCCAAGTCCACAAAAACTGCTCTGGGGACGTGCTTTCCAGCTCCAGTCTCACTGAAGAAGGTGTTGAAGGAATCGTCCCCTCCTCCAATGGTCTTGTCACTGGGCATCTGTCCGTCCGGCTGGATCCCATGTTCCAGGCAGTAAAGCTCCCAGCAGGCATTTCCAATCTGGACACCAGCCTGTCCAACGTGGATGGAGATACACTCACGCTGTGGAAAATAAAGACAGGAGATGTCATTTAATCTTACAGTCACACATGACAGGAAGTGATGTTATTGCTGTTTTATAATTATTTAATTTGCCAACCCAAAATATCTTATTAAAGGAAAAACATTTGTAATAAGGCTATCTATCAAAATTAATTATGTCTACCTTATTGTGGAAATGTTTCTTGCTGTAATTATTGTTATAATTGTTTCTATTTTATTGGCAGAAATCTCATTTGAGAAGCAGAACCCCAGTGAAGAGCGCTCTGGGTAAAGGTCGACTTTAGTTTAACAGCAGCCTCCACCTTTCACTGGCGCACTGCGTTACTATAGGACAAGCCCTTCGCTTTGACAACGGGTGACGTTTGTTGAAATTCCTGCGAAAATGTTAATTATTAAAGGTAACCTGAGAATCCCCGGCATAATGGAAATAAATAATGTTAGCCTGCTCTTAGAAAAATGTTAAATAACAACCGGTCAAAAAAAAAAAACAGAATCTTTTGCTCCTTTTTAACCCTTCATCGCCGTAGTAGATAACAGCTACCAACTCAGCCGTGTCCATTACTAACCATGCATTTTTAATTCATTTGCGCCATGCTGACAGCGCATCTTATTACGGACGGAGTCACTTTGAAGGGCACTAGTTCTAGCGTTACTATTGTGCATCCTCCCTGTCGGCACACTGAATTAATGACTAGTGACTAGTGTAGTCACGCCGACGGAGAACAAAAATACTGCAAAGTCTGCGGTCGTCCTCAAGCCTGCGTTGTTCATCCCGTCCATGTATTACTGCCAACGTTATCGGTAGAAACCCTCTTTTGTTCAGTCTGCCCGCCACGTACCCGTGCTAAAGGCGCTAGACCATCTCCTCACCAAAACCTAGATTACATTAAGATTTACTAGTTTAACGCCTATTGTAGAGTTAAAGATAAGATTTATGAAACTATAAGTTCTTAGTCCCACTACTCCGTTGATATTAACGATCTTTCCCATCCACCTCATGCTCACAAGTCACATCTCTTAAAAGTTGAAGCAACGTCTGTGCCTCTACGTTTTGAAAAAGTTCTTACCATTTTGTTGTGTTTTGGTCGAGTAAGGGGGTGGCAGAAAAGTTTCGATACGCAGTCTTACAATTCGACTATTATGAGGTCGATGTAAGAGATAATGGCGAACATGAGGATGGAGGAGTGATATATATGCAAGTGCGGTCCTGCGCCGGCAGCTGCTGTGCGGCTATTGGTCTAATCACTGTCAATCTAACGTTTTGATGCTGTCTACGGATTTTGATTGGATGAACGGCTCACGCGCTACAGAGACCGCCCCCAAGACCCCACCCGATCCCAACATCCCCAGTCATGGCGCCTCTAGTTGTGAGGAAAATGCTGCGTAATTTTAAGCATGGTGGTACCAAGCAGGCGCAGTCTGCCCTAGAACAAACACTGTATGCATATCTATGAAATAACTTGTGATAGAACAGAACAAAGCTTAATAGTACAGACTAGAACAAAGTATAAGAAAATAACTCTTTGTCAGCTACAGTCATTAACATGATTTATTTTACCTTAGTAGTTCTCATACATATGTGACTGATGTCTGAACACCTTTCCCAACACTAGTCACCGTTTATGTAACCATTAATGCTTCAACATCGCGGTAATTTCACAAAGATTTGGATACCACTATGATTTGCTAATCATGTCTAAACACAATGTAAAAAAATATACATCTGCAGTTAATGCACACTGTCTTAAGTTGAAACCAATGTTCAATTAAACTGTGAGGCTAGTGAATTTTACTCTGACCTTGTGTTTGTCACCATGAAGTTTGTGAAGCATATTCTTCAAATTATTTAAAAATCACGGTGTTTACATTGTAGTTGTTTTATTAGGCAGCAGAATTTATTTTATTTCCAGCATTGTGGCTTTAATCACCTTTAGATATGTAGGATATGGTTCTTGTTACCATTGCTAACTCTGAGAGACGAGCCAGTCCAAGTAACTTCAAAACAGTGCTGATTTATTCAAAGGATCACAGGTAAAATTAACATTACACGCTCAGTTATCTTGCACCTCCAACCTGCACGCAGGCAGATGTAAGATGAAAG